AGTCACAATTAAAGCAATATGCTACGGCACTGCTACGGTATGCCAGGCGCACCCTATTAAAGGCCCGGGCGACCTGTTCAGAAATTCAGGGTTCAGAAGGAACCCGAAAGAAACTGAAATGAAGCCCGGTTCAGCGTTCGCTCCGGGGCCGCCGGCCCTACTAAGGGGTCCCGCACGAGTTGTTCAGAAATTCAGGGTTCAGAAGGAACCCGAATGAAGCTGAAATGAAGCCCGGTTCAGCGGCCGCCAGCCCCTAGGGGTCCCGGTCGAGTTGTTCAAAAAATCAGTGTTCAGAAGGAACCCGAATGAAGCTGAAATGAAGCCCGGTTCAGCGGGCACCCCGGGGCTGCGGGCCTTAGGCCCGGTCCGGGTCCACTCGTTCAGAAATCCAGGGTTCAGGAGGAACCCGAATGAACATGAATTGAAGCCCGGTTCAGCTTGTACCCGGCGCAGCCCGGTCCGCCCCGGTCCTCTTGTTCAAATATTTAGGGTTCAGAAGGAACCCGAATGGACCTGTAATTGAACCCGGCACACGTTCACCCAACATTGCTAGTCGGTTTTGATGTTAATAGCATGGTCCGGATCTGCTGTGATTTTCCGTTTGCCATGCCTTTTCGAAATCTGACAGTCAAGATAGCCCTGATTGCTACTCGGTTTGAACGTTTAGCAGGGTTCCGGGCAGTTGCGATTTGCTTTTCGCAATGTCATTTAATCTCTATTGATGGAAAAATATATAAAATACGGCCGGAATGGACGATTCCGTACAGTGAGTGTGGTGTGTGTAGTATATACAGCCGGTGGCAACGGTAAATAACGGTGGATCCAGTAGGGAAACGGGTTGTACCAGTAGGACTACCTACTACCGTATTTAAGGTACCGTACACAGGAACGGAGTCCGGGTAGGTACTCGTCCGGCCGCGGCCCGAAAGTACTCGAAATATTCCGAAAATCCTGCGATTCTGCTTGATGCAGTCGCGCACACGGACTCTCAGACTGAGAGTTATATATTACCTATAATACTACACTGTTTACGAAGACCCACGGCGGTCCGAGCCCCGGGGGCTCGGTTCAGAAGTTCAGGGTTCAGGAGAACCCTGAATGAACCCTGTATGAACAGTCACGGGACGTTCATTCAGGGTTCATTGAGGGTTCTCCTGAACCCTGAGTTTCTGGAAGCCCCCGGTGGGCTGCCCCCCAGGTTCACTTGGACCAAAAAGCTATTACACTGTAGTTTAACCACAGATCATAGGGCCCAGTCACTTATTCCGGAAATTCGGGATTCAGGAGGAGCCTGAATGAAGTCTGAATGAATGATTTGAAAATCCTCAGATGTGCTTCAAAGTTTGCGTACAGGTCCGGTACATTGCAATAGACATACCTAATAGTACTACGGTAAGTAGCATGATTCGTTCAGGTACGGTACCTACGGTACCTCTGAGTGGTCAGACGCACCGTGGTACCGTTTGGGGCGGTGCTAACTGCATGGAATCTGAATTCGATGAATTTTCAAAGAAAATCTGAAGTTTGCGCAAAACGCGCCAAGTCTTGCAGTCGAGCCTTTATAGTCACTGTTCAGATAGCGCGCGATGGATTTCAGGCGCGCATTGGCCCTGCCTGAAGGAATCCAAATGAAGCCCCAAAAATGGGTGTTCAGGCCCCCACCGGCACAGTATGACCACGGGAATGTCTGCCAAACATTAGGAAGTAAGGTGAGTAGTTCCCTAGTGCTCCTTGCTTTGACCAGTGCGGTATCCCATGGCAATCCAAGGAATCGCCTTATCCCAGGTATCAAGTGCATGTGTCAATATGTACTTACGTACGGCTCGCTTAGTTGTTTGAACTGCACGTTCAGCGAGGCCGTCGGCTTGAGGGTGATCGCGTGAGGTTTCACGGTGATCAATTAGAAGTTCCTTACATAAGGTGTCAAATTCTCCTTGGAATTCTTGTCCTTGATCAGTAAGTACTTCTGCGGGTGCGCCAAAGTGGGTGCAAGCTTAAAGGAAGGCCTTCGCAGTTTCTTCAGAGGTATTGTCGGGGAGTGGAACGAGCTCCAACCACTTTGAGAAGTGCTCTATCATTACCATGATGTAATGATATCCAGTTGCTGATGGGGAAAGCGGCCCTGCTAGGTCGCAACTCCATCGGTACCCTAAGCCCATGATTGGAAGGGGCTTGAGTACTGAGTCCTTGATATTAAAACTGGTTTTGACGCGGTCACACACTTGACAACTAGCTACTAATTGCGCGATCCGTTCGTGCATTCCTGCCCACACCTGTGTGGGTTCTATGACGCGGAGTGTGAACCCCGAGAAGTTTCTTTGTGCGCCAGAGATTGGGCTTCAGATTGAGAACTTAGATCTGCACATCAAGGCAGGGTCCAAGCAGGAGCACACGCTTCTTCTCGACATGAAGGATGGTGGGGGATGGCCGAACGGTGTCAGAGGCAGCAGTGAAATTGAGCCGCAGCACGTCCTGAAGCGCACTGCAGTGGCACTCTGCGGAGGCATCCAGCCAGATATCGCGCTCAGTTTCCTCACAAATGAGACAAACGTAGCGATGGGACTGTCTGGACGGTTTGAGATGACGGCGCCGCGCAGGCTGCACGTCGAGAGTCTTTCTGAGCTGCGCACTGAGACGCTGCCAAGACGGAAAGCTGTAAACCGCGGCCCCGAAGTCCCTGCTAGGCAGCTCGTCTTCTCGGGCACCGAGTTGCGTGGCATGCGGGCACAGGATGCGGAAGCGTCAGGGCCGCCGTCATCAGCGGAGAATGGCAGCTCGGAAAGAGCGCCAGGTCAGTGGTATGAGAGCGAGATGTTGACATGGGTACAAGCGCGGCAAGGGCTTCCGGAGAGCGATTCCCAGCCAGGGGGCGACGAAGGTGGCGAGGAACTTAAGAGGAGCCTGTGCGCTTTGCAGCCAAGGAGTACCTTATTGATGCGAGGCTGTTGTGGAGGTACATGGTTTATGTTCGTTGAGTCGGGAATCTGCATGGTCATCTCCCTCCCAAGGCTGATCATTATTTCGTATGTAGCACCTTGGTGTTCCAACCCAAAGCATCACAGGTAGTTTGTTCTCAAGTTTCTTCGGGATCTTTCACAGAATGTTGTTCATGTGTCCGTTGTCTTTGCGGATGGCGTGTGCAGTGATTGGAAAGTGCCACCTGTGTTTGATCTTGGAGACGCTGTGGTCAATAATATCGTCAGCATCGATCTGCTTATTGATAGACGGTGCCTCATGAAAACAGAGTTTTGAATTTTGTATTCATGAGGTGCTTCTGCTCATAACCTGCTCTTGAACTGGAATGGAGCTCTTGAGCATGAAAGCAACCATGCAGAAACCAGTGTGGCGCCGCAGGTCTGCTGTGAAGCACTAAGACCTTGATTTGTTACCTCTATCGCATGTACATAATTCGCCCAACCCCAGAAAGCAGCGGTCTGACTTCGTTTGTTGTGCTCTTATTTGCAGGTGCTGTGCAACAGCTATAGGTGCCGTCACAGGATGGAGATTCCAGAGAGTGAAGCGCTGTGCCAGGCGATCACGACGTTCTACACCCGGAGTGACGAAGCGTTCGAGCTGCTGGACCAGCAGTTCCGGCGCTTCAACACTGCTTCTACGCTGTGCGAGAAGATGGGGTTGAGCAACAGTTTGAGTGAGCAATAACTGGCATCCATGACCTATGGTCGACAGGGACTGAGATTGAAAGCGGTTGGTCTCTCATTGTAGGGGCCCCTGTGCACACGTGTCGGCGAATTGGTACAGGTTCTATGCTTGGGAGAGTGGTGTCCGCTGGCGTTGGCTAAGTGTCCTGGTTGCGTTTGTAGCAACGTGCACAGCCTTCTGGTGATTTTACGTAGTTGTTGATTCATGCCGGACGAAAAGGTTTGAGTTCCTGCAAAAGTTCGTGAGACACGTCGTTGACATCTCCATTCTGCTCACCCGGACGGCTCGCACCAGTTTTCACAGGCGTTAACATTTGCAAGGGGTCAGCTTTTCAATCTATTGCTAACAACACGTCTTTGTGTAGCCAGAGCTTGCACACAATCATCTTTTGGAAGATGGAATCGGCGATAAAATGAGGTGACAGGGTAGGGGCCAGAAAACGGCCTCACAAGTGCACCCCGACACTCTCGTAGGTCTCTTGGGGAAGGGCGTCGGGAAGCTGATAATGTTCTCGGCCCTCATCCACGGCCTTGCTGAGTCGGAGACGGCGCTCGCTCTTGGACTCGATCCTGGCGCCGTCCGCATCCTTCCAGTGATCCAGAAGAGGAGCGTGGAGATGGCGCTGCGAGTCATGGACATGTTCGACCGTCAAAAGATGACGTTTGTAGGGTAGTAGGAGCTGTTGGACGTCTATGAGGGCCGCGCCGTGGAAGAAGTGAACGAGCCCTGGGCGAACCATGCATGGCCGCGGCTGCTGGTGGGTGTGATTTTGTATGGAATTATAGTCCAGGAGTTTAACGTGCTAGTTTCAGTTCCATGTCGTCGCTCGGAATCGCTAGCTTTTGGAAGGCTTAGCAAAACTCTAGAATCAGCTCCCAACCAGCCTCGGCAAGGACGGTCAAAACGTTCCAAGGACTCGGAACGGCCCTAACATTGCTGACAGTGATGTTGACAATGGTCGTGTAGATTGGCGCTATGGAAAGCAGAAGTCCAGGAAATCAGCATGGAGGCCGCAAAGGCACGCTGAAAGAAAAGCGGAGTGGAAATTAACCTTTTGCAAACAAGCAATCTGTCTCACGTTGCAGTTGTCGTTCCTCTTGCAGCCACCGCTGGCGAAATCCGCCGTGAAAATGCTCAAGAAGTTTGCCGTCGCTGAGAAGCTGCCCATTACGACGATCAACAAGGCTGCCCCATTCGCGTCCGGTGAGGAGCTCCAGGCGCGGAAGAACCTCGGCGTTGATCTGGGCCGCGATCGACCTGTCCCCGATCGAGTACACGCGGCAAGTGGTAGAGTACGTCATCAACTTCGAAGAGGGCGTCTTCGGGCGCGTCGTCGAGGATCACGAGGTCGTGCCAAGTAAGTTTGAGCAGTCTGGTGGAATAACCGACATTACTTGTTACGTTTTCATTGCATTGAATCAGTGGCGTGGTTCGTTACGTTGCACTATTTGTGTCTCTTTTTGGTCTGAAAGATCCTATCGGTTTAACGAGTTCCCTTTTGCTCATGAACCCACCTTCAGACGCCCTGCCTCAAAGTGCAACAAATTCATCATACCTTTGGACATAAGAGGTCTGAAATCGCTCGTTCGAAATCAGAAGAGGTCTGAGGTTGCTCGTTCGAAGAGCAGCAAAACTGCGTGCCCACGCAATTTGACAAATCGACATGGCCACATGCAGACTGTCCGGGCGCGCCCCCGAGCAAGCAGATGCGCGAACGAGGAACAGTGTTCTGCAAGAAGGTCCTGGAGTCCACTGAGGACAGGGAGAAGTTGATTGGGGCGCTTGAGCGCTGCCTTGGCAACAATCTGGGCATCGAGGAGTTGTGGCCCGGTGGTGTCCACCGGCCTCCTCCTTCAGGCCGGGGCGCTCACAGGTGGGGGCTTCAAACGGGACCGCTGCGCGTACTTGTTTGAAGCGCTGAACACTTGTTACAACGGGCAATGTCCTTAAATGTGCGATGGGAAGACGAACCTGGCCGATCATTTTCGAGGGTTTTCTGCATGCTTCCAGTTCAAGGAGGGAACGTCGACGTGAATCGTAGTCTGTTTGCCTGTCTCCGGTTGCTATATCGATTGGCGTCGTTGGCAGGGACGTTGGGCTCTTGGTGAGCAGCCCAAGTGCTACTCAGTGATGCAAAGCTGGCCGGAGATGGGAAACCACTTTTGCCTTGTTGCGCAGGAACGATGACGTCGCCGGGAGTGTCGAAGAGATGAGCGAGGCACAGGACCGGGGCCCAAGCAACGAGAACCAGGAACCGGGGGCAGGACCGGCTGCAGACACGGGCAACGATCGGTCGCCTCCGACTGCCGACGGCCACCAGGACCCGGGCCTACGGAAGAGTCAGTGGTCGACGATGCAGAACCAGCAGTCCGTACCGGAAGAGGGCACCGAGCCACCGGCCAAGAGATCGAAGGGGAAATGACTAGAGTACGGTCTGTGATTGAGCAATCAAGTAAAATGTGTCTGGTGT